TACTGTGCCAACTTTAATCTTCAATTAGTGTTGCACCAAGTTTAAAGAGAATGTATATATGTGTATATATATATATATATATATATATATATATATTAATTAGTAAAAACACTTATCTGAATGTTAGGGTGATGCAAAAAACAACTTTTTTTAAAATTGTCTCCTGCTCTTAACTAAATGTGTTCTATATAATACAAAAACACTAGGTTCAAAGTTTTTTTGAATAAAAAATATTTTTAGGGGTGCCTCAAGACCCTTAAATATTTGACAGGTCCCTAATGTTTTGAAAAAATAAGTTTTTTTAAAGTATGTCAGCCTGGTACTCAAAAGAAGCGAAATTATCTGAAATATTTTTTTGATCGTATCTGAAATATTTTTCGTATCTGAAATATTTTTTTCAGATACAATTGCCTAAAAACTATTGTTTTTAAGGTGATAATAAAAAAAGTCAATATTTTCAAGTTTTTTTAAAATAATTTATTAAAACATGTTTTTATGTAAATTGATTATTATTTTTCAAGTTTTTATATAATTTTGCTTCTTTTGAGTACCAGGTTGACATACTTTAGAAAAACTATTTTTTTCAAAATATTAGGGACCCATCAAATATTTAAGGGTCTTGAGGCACCCCTAAATATATTTTATTATTAAAAAAAACTTTGAACCTAGTGTTTTTGTATTATATAGAACACATTTAGTTAAGAGCAGGAGACTATTTTTAAAAAAGTTGTTTTTTGCATCACCCTAATATATATATATATATATATATATATATATATATATATATATATATATATATATATATATATATATATATATATATATATATATATTATTTCTGATGAGTCTTCATAAAAAAAAATACAGTATAAAATGAGAAAATTTGATATATATATATATATATATATATATATATATATATATATATATATATATATATATATATATATATATATGTATATATATGTATATATATATATATATATATACATATATATATATATATATATATATATATATATATATATATGTATATATATATATATATATATATATATATATATATATATGTATATATATATATATATATATATATATATATATATATATATATATATATATATATATATATATATATATATATATATATATATATATATATATATTAGCAATTGTTTACTAATTTTGCCTAATTTTAGAGCATACAATTTTTGAAGAAAAAGAAGAAAAAACAAAGAATAATAGAAAAAAAAAGATAGCTGCACCCTCAGTCAATGTAGCAGAATTTCTTTGCAGCAGCAAGCTTTATGATAGCTGATGTATTTACTGAAGCAGCAGGCTGTTTCAGTATGACAACAGACATGTTATCTAAACATGCATTAGACAGGCTGTAGAATTTAGTGTCAAATTTTTATGACATAAATTATGAACCATTTGCTTTAAAGAAAAAAGCTTAAATTCTTATATGTAATCTTGAATACCATTTAACTCTTTTTCATTAATGCAATTTATTTATTTTGTTGAGTAAATCAGAGAAAGTACTCATCTTTGTTGCTATACAAAACAACTCATAAAAGTGTGATAGAGTTTTAAATAAAAAAATTTAAATTAATCTTTTGTTCACATTTTTAAATTTTCAAACTTCAAACATTTTGAAAGAACAAACAACTGCATCAGAACTTGTATTCCACATTTTTTTTTATTACAAGTTATGTTAACTATAAACTTTATAAAGAAATTATTTTGGTGAACATCTAAAATAAAAAAGTATTGTTTTTAAAACTTAGAGCTTTTTCAAGAGATGCAGATTTAACATTGCATAAATTGCCACTGATGATGTCATCTTCAGAAGGTTTATAACATATACACTAATTTATTATTAGAAAACTATTTTACAATCAACAAATAAATTATTTATCATAATAGAAATTACAAAATAATAATAATAATAATAATAATAATAATAATAATAATAATAATAATAATAAAACAAACTTCACACATTTATCACAAGATTTAAAACTTAAAAACATTTTATTTAATTTGTAACCTACATACAGAGCTATATTTAAAAATGTTCTGACAGAAAAGAATTTAACCTTTAGGCAAACTATAATTAGAGTTAACGTTTGCATTATATATAAATTGTACATTTTATTGGGTCAGAAGTAACATTGCGGATGTGTTTTGTATATAGTTATTATAATGTATTCAACCATTGTACTTTTTTTTAAGCTTTTGGATGTTTAGAAAATGTATTCAGTGGAAATAATTATAGAGTGTGCTCTAGTTTATATATAAATATATAAACTAGAGCACACTCTAAAATTATTTCCGCTAATTTTATTACAAATTATTCCCCTAATTTTATTACAAATTATTATGATAAAATAAATTTGCTTTAACTTTGATCAGAGATGAGAAGTCTTGAAAGAACTCTGGGTTTAAATCTTAATTTTTTCTTGGTCTCTGGTGTCCAAAAAATCTAAAAGTGTTAAGTGATTTATGATCTGCAATAAGAAGAAAATTAATGAGATTTTATGATTTGGAACCTCTTACCTAAAATTTTTTAATTTTAAAATAACCCATAAGCCTCTTTGAATTTTCAGAGCTCTTGGTAAACAAAAATTAGGAAGAAATAATCATTTATTGACTTTCAAATCCAGAGTATTTTTTGAAACTCTGCATCCCTGATTTTGATATTAAAGCTTAAAAATAATATAATATATATATAACATAAAAAATATTGTACAAACTATTTAAGTTTGGCTAGACAAAACTACATAGTGTTGACTATAACAGCCTTAAAATGTAAGATTTTGTTTATAAAAATAGTTTATTAAAAAAATTTGAAAGCAAAAGTTCAGAATTTTGTAGATTCTATTTTTGCAAAATCAATTGTATCTTGTGACAACAAATTCCAATCGTCTACCACTCTATTTGTTAAATAGTAAAACATGCATATTTTTTTAGTAAACTCTCAATGAAGCCTTTTAATGAGATGATTTCTTTTAATGAGATGATTTCTAGATATGTAGCTGTAAAATTTTAAAGGCTCCTCAAATCTAATATATTCAATTGAATTTGATATTTTAAACATTTCTATCAAGTCACCTCTTCTTCTTCTTTTTTGTAACATTGGTAAACCTAAAAACTTTCTACTTTCATCATAACAGATGCCTTTCAGTATTTCAATCCTAGTCGATCTACGTTGTACATTTTTTAGTCTATTAATATCTTTAATACAATATGAGCTCCATACTGATGCTGCATATTTAAGCTGTGGCCTTATAATTGACTTGTATAACAACTTTAATATTGCAACATCAAGATATTTAAATGCATGTTTTATAAAACTTAGTGTTCGATTAGCTTTATATGCAACACTGATAACATGATTTTCCCATTTACGGTTATTTGATATTATAACACCTAAATATCTTTCAATTTCTTTCTTTTGTAAAACACAATCTTCTAATTTGTAATTAAATTGAGGATTCAATTTACCAATATGTATAAATTTACACTTATCTTCATCGAACTTAATCAACCACTTGTTTGACCAGTTTGACAACTTATTTAAATCTTCTTGAAGAGCATTGCTGTTACTTTCATTGGTAATTGCTGACATGATTTTAGTATCATCTAATAATTCTAATTTATTTGGTATATGACCATTTAAGTCATTGATATAAATTACAAATAGTAGTGGGCCAAGAACTGAACCCTGAGGTAATCTACTTGTAATTTCCTCCCAACATGAAACAAACTCACCCAGTACAACTCTTTGTTTTCTATTACTATGAAATGTTTTACACCATATGTAAAATATAATAATGAAAACCATAACCATAAAGCTTGAAACATAATTTAGATAAAGAAACCAAATCAAAAGCTTTTGCCAAGTCCAAAAATATTATATCAATATTATTACCAGCTTTGATTTTTCTTGTAATAAAACCGAAAGTCTTTAACAAATTTGAACAACAATTTTTACTTTTAACGATTCCATGCTGTTCACTTGCTAATAATTTATTAAAAGTCAAATGGTTCATCATAACATTGCAAATAATTTTCTCCATTATTTTGCAAACTGTTGATGTTAATGTTATTGGTTGATAGTTTGAAGGATCTAATTTTTTCCTTTTTTGAATAGTGATTTTATGTTTGCAATTAACCATTCATTTGGTATAACACCACTATAATATGACATTTTATAGATCAGTGATAACATATAATATGACATTTTATAGATCAGTGAAAAGTTACACTAAAAATGATAATTTTAAAATCATTGTTCCGATTAATTTTATTTTAAGTAAGCTCTCAAAAAATAGTTTAAAAGTAATGAATTTAAAGCTTGTCATTGTTAAAACTTGTTAGATAATTTATTTACAAAGACACTTTGCATCAGTGTACATATATACATTTATTGATGTCTACTATTAGTAGAAAATTAACAGTAGTACCAAATTAAGTAGTACTAATGATTGGTGCAAACACATTACTTGAAATGACAAGAAATTCAATTAAATTCAATTCAAGTAAATAATATTCAACATTATTAAACAATGATTGTTTGCTTTTTGAATCTTTTTCAAAACATATAATTTTGCATTAGAAACCAATTTGCATAAAAAATCTGAAATCAGTATATAAAACTTATAATTAACAAAGATAACTTGATTTATAATTAGATAATTTTAACCCTAAAAAAAAATGTGTTTTACTTTTACTATTCATCTGATAATTTTTTTGTCACAATTTTTTTGGATGGATATTTTTCCAACTCACTACAACTTCTAAAATAATTACTATGATAGTAGCAGAAAAAACAAACATCAAATCTGAACAACATTTGAAAGTTGATTACTAATTTCACTAGTGCTTTATTTAATCCATCGGATATTCAAGTTTCATTATTTTAATTTTGCATTTTGCGGACTTGATATTTATATTGAGTCAAAAGCTAATTTTTATGAAGTTCAAAAAAACCTTACCTGTTTTATTATTACAACAGTTGCCGTTAAATAAAGCTTGCTTAAAGAAATCAGTTAAAAGGCATTTATAAATAATTGAATTTCTAAAATGCATCCGTCTTGTATTGTCGCTCTTAAAGTAAAACAACTTTGTATTTCTTATTAATAATAAAATATCGACGAACTTACACGCACTTTTTTATATTGAATAGCAGATGTTCGGACATTAAGGGATATTTTGTATGAACAAATAAATGCGCTCATTTATATGAATTCCTTTTTAATATTTAATTTTATGACTGCTTTAGCAAATTGTATTACACATTTTTTTTACAATTTTGAATTTTGCTTACTTTAATTATAAAATAAAATAACTTGAGAAACTCGAGATAAGTTTTTAATTAAGATTTAAGTAAAGCTAAAAAATATTAAATTTATTTTTAACTATACAAACAAGAATTAAAATTGCCTTTTGCATTTTTTTTGTTATTTTTTACAAAAAATTTACAGCAAACTATTTTTAAATAAATCTTAAAATCTATTACTACAGATTTTTTTTTTTTTTTTTAAATCATTTTCTTGAGAGGATTTTTTTAAAAATTTAAACTAAAAAAAAAAAAAAAGAAATGATTTATTACCGTCTTATTATCGTATAATTATCTTATAATTTATTGTCATGTTCATTCATAATTGAATACGATTTCTAACATTTAGTTTATAAGATTATTATTATTATTGTTATTATCATTATTATTATTATTATTATTTATAAATTCATATTTACAATTAGTGAAATCCATATATTCCCTCTAAGCTCAAATAGATTGATTCATTTTCTCACCTAACAATTTGAATTTTAATACTCATAAGATATTAAACAGTTTATGCAAGAATGCTAGTGGTTGCTCCGCTTTGACCTTCATCTAAAGTATTTTTAAAAGAAACATGAAATGAGCTGGAAACGCTAAAGTTTAAAGGTATGTGCCCAATTACAAAACAATTATTTTTCTACCTACGTTTATGCCTAATTTGAAAGCAAAATAAAGGCAAAATATATACATAAGTATTTTTTAGACATATTGCATAAACATACTATTATTAATTTCCGAGACTATCCAAAAACCATTATGTGTTTCTGCTAATCTACTTTTGATTGACTACTTTCAGAGCCAGTATGAGTAGGTATCATGTGAGGGGTGCCATTGCAAATTTTACCGTCTAAAAAAAAAAATCCATTTTTTTTTTTTAATTTGCCGATTGATTGATCAACATTTCTCGACTGACTGTATAAATTTGCAGACGAACATGTCTAAAAGGTTTACATTTGCCGACTGACTTGTCTAAAAGGGTCAGATTTGCCGGCTCAATGAAAGAAAAATTAATTGATGGAACGGGGGAAGCACACACCCTCTCCTTTGCGCTGGCTTTGACTAACTTATATTACAAACCATCTTCTTTATTTTGAATTCCAAGCACAAGGTTTTTTGGTATTTGAGTTAATTATCCTTTACGTATGTTCAAAACTGAAATACTTTGTATGTTCATAATTGTCACTCGATGTTGTTGTTGTTGTTTTTTTTTTGTTTTTTTTTTGTTTTAATTATTTAGACTACTCGGTAATTTAAAATATTATAGGGTCTGTATGACGCATTGCTGATCATGGCATAATTCTGAACAATAATCTGCTCTCTAAATTATGACTAAAATAATAGAGATTTCTCAAGAAGTAAGTTCTTATTGGGAAATAATTACAAAAATTTATTCAAGTATTAATGATTTTATTATTACTTTGTTTAAAAAATATTACTTTGTTTAAAAACTAAATCCGTTTAAAATTTAGATTTCATTTTGTTTTTAGGAGGTTGTATATACTGTAAGATTTCAACTTTCTAACCCCCAATTTTCTGATCAAATTGTAAATATATTTAGGGGCGGATCCACGATTTTTTGGTATTTGAGCTTAGTAACTTCTAGAATAATTCTAAACTCCAAACTTTTGTATGGTGATCCTAAAGTCACATAAAAATGTTTTGCGAAAAAAAAACACATTTTAGAAATTTTACGCATGTAAAATTTACATCCTCGTCGTTTTAATGAGGTTGTATACGTGTTGTATACTTTACATGGTAATAAATTTATAACGCCGAATGATATTTTTATGAAACTTTAAATATGTTCATTAATTGTCGTCTTATTTATGGAAAAAAAAAAGATTTTTATCGAAAAAAATAGCATTGATACATAGGTTTTAGTGTACTTTTGTTCCCAAGCTCAAATCAGCGCAATTTTAGACGAAATATTCTTATAAGACATATAACGAACTTAATAAAGTTTGGAGTTTAGAAATTACTTAGAAGTTGATTAACTCAAATACCAAAAAGTCCTAGATTCGCCACTGATATTTATAAACTTTATTCTTATTTAAGGAAATAATACTTTTAGAAAAAATAACTAATCCATCGCTTATGTAAGCAACTTTTTTGAGTATTTTTGTTTCTACTCAACGAGTATTTGTTTTTAATAGTTACGCTCTAAACGTCTTTTAAACATTTTTAAAGCATCTTCAAAACGTTTTAAAGTTTAGAACGTTTAGAAGATATTTAAAAGTTAAAAGTTTATAAAAACGTTTACAAGACGTTTAAAAAACGTTCTAAAGTTTAGAACATTTAAAAGACGTTTTAAAAACGTTTAAAAGACGTCAGTAGGTATCTTTTAAAAAACAAACGTCTTTTGAACATTTTGAACGTATTTTGAATGTTCACAAGACGTCGTAGCACACTGGGTGGGTAGATTAATACCGTGCTAACTTCAATCTGAAATGAGTTCATTAAATTGATATAAGGGATATGTTTGGATTTTTGATATGTTTCCATTTTTGAGTGAAAACAATTTTCTCTATTTTAACCAATATGGTTTTCGATCAAATTACTCTACGGAGCATGCACTTATACAATTAGTGGGAACTATCAGTGAAACATCTTTTTATAATAAATTCACTTTAGGTATATTCCTAAATTTATCAAAAGCATTTGACACCGTTAATCATCAGATTTTACTAGAAAAACTAAAATATTATTGAACATGTCATGAATACCATTAATGGTTTACCAGTTACTTAACTAATCGAAAACAGTTTATAATATCTTTAAACCACGGTTTTTAGACAAAAACATTCCACAAGGCTCCATCTTAGGATCCTCTACTTTTTTTTAATGTCAACAATCTATATACAGCATCACATACTATATCTGCTACCATGTTTGTAGACAATACCACTTTATTTTATTTTCACAGTAACTTTATCTTTCTATTTCAAGTAGCAAACAAAGGACTAGAACAAATATAAAACTGGCTTAACATTACAGCCTATCTTTAAACACTGATAAAACTAAGTTTTCTTTACTTCATTCTAAACAAAAATATCAATATATTCCTATATCGTTACCAATGCTATATATAAATAACATCAAAAACGAGCGCTCTTTCAAAAACAAATTACTTGGTGTTTTAATAAATGAAAACTTATCCTGGAGAGATCATATTAAATATATTCGTAATAAAATCTTGAGAAATATAGGTATTTTTTATCAAACCCGTCGAATCTGACGTCAAAATCACGGTTTTCGTCAAACCTACACTAACTCAGCTATATTTTGTATTCATTAATAGTCACTTATCTTATTACAATATTGTTTGTACAAACTAATCTAAACTCGAACGTCTCATCGAACAACAGAATCATGCAGCAAGAATTATTTATTTTCAAAACCACTTCACAAATGCTAAACCTCTTCTAAAAAGCAGGCTCTTAATATTTACAAAATAAACACATTCAAAGTCATACAAATTATGTTCCAACATCAGTTAAAAAACCCCCAAGAGTTTTCAAAGATATTTTTCCTAAAACATCAAACCGATACTTTCCGTATATCAAAACCTACAAGATTCTCTATTTCTTATCGTGGCCCTATGATGTGGAACCATTTTACAAGCCTGTGTTTAAAAAGGACATAATTGTACTTATTGCCAATCAAAATTCTTTTATATTATCAAAAGGTTACTGATGATAAGATTTTTTCTTCTTTAGGTTCTCCAGTCTTCTAACTACTATATATGATGAAATGTATTTGTATTTAATATTTTAAACTATTTTATGTCAGAAATCAGATTGAATTGTAAATGGTTGCTGAAAAAAATAAACAAGGGGCTGTCTAGTAATATTGGCAACAAAATAGGTGGAAGGGAGTGTCTGAAATTTTTTGAAAATTTCTTATCGCAAACCTTTTTTTACATTTTAAGTGCTTTTTATAATCATTTCAAATGAGCATGCAAGAAATAAAGACAGATTTTTTTTCTTATAAAAAATATTCTATAAGTTAAGATTTTCATTAAAGGTTGCTAAATTTTCAGAGAAGTGAGCAAAATCCTCCGAGTGCATTCCAATAACAGTGCATAAATCAATAATGTTATTGATCAATATCTTTTTATCTTTTAACACTTGAAAAAGATTTCCAAAATGTTCTTCACATATAGTTAAATTATAAAAAATATCATGAAAAGGTTCAAGATACACCATTAAATAAATATGGTTAAGTTCTGCTTCTTCGTTAGTATCATATTCTGTTAGCTTTTCGTTCAAAATATCAATTAAAAAAACCAAAAGATTATAGTTTTCATTAATAGTTGATAAAACTGCTTTAGCATTGCCAGATAACAAACAGCTAAGAACTGAATAAAAGGATTGCAGACATTGGTCCTTTACTCTAGGGTTATTTCCAGAAAGCAAATGAGCAAAAATAGAACATAAAAATACAACTAAAGAATCATGTTTTAAAAGTTCACAAACACAAGAAACAGTAGTTGTAAACGATTGGAGTATATGTAACAAGTTTGAAATAGGTTCTTGCATGCTGTTTTCATTTAAAATATAGTATACGTCCAGCAAACAATTTAAAATTTCTTTACAATGTAACTCCATGAGCTTATCAGAATTATCGAATATTAAATCTAATATTTCTACAATATTCATCACTATGTTTACATTCAAAGAATTTTGAAGGATACGAACTAACTGATCGACTGGATGTGGCTCCAAGCTTGAGGTCTCAAATGATTTAATTAATTTTTCTAAGCAGACTTCATGTGACATTAAAACACAAAGTAACCGTGTTAACTCAACTAAACTTAAGGAATCAGTAAGACTGAGATATTCCAGTAATGTATCACAAAATGTTTCATCAGATATCATACCTAAAGCAACTTTTTCAACGCATGCCATATTGCCTAGAATTCCAAAACATATTTCTAAAAGACGAGGAGATTGAGTTTTATCTAAAACATACATAAGTATAGCTTGACTATCATTTTCATAAAGAAAGGTAGAAACATCACTGTTTGCACTAATATCCCAAAGTTCACAAATCTCATCTTCAAATGTACCAAGAAGTTCTTTTAAATTATCATTATTTGATTCATTGCATAACCTTTGTTCTGAATTAGATTCTAAAAAATTTTGTTTTAGTTTTAACTGGGTGTCATAAATTTCTTCTTCTTTTAGTGAAAACAATTTAAATATAACATTTAACACCCACTTTTTGCTGAATAATGATTCTCCTATGTAATCAGCTTTCAACTTTGCTTTTTCTTCATCTGTCAATGGGGGTGGTGAAGGATTTCGTAATAGCTCATTGTCAGACATTGATCTAAAATAATTTTAAAATAAACAATTATTAAGTTGTAATGAAAAATACAAATATTATTATTATTTAGTATTTATAGTATAGTATACTATTTATAATATGGTATAGTCAAAAATAAATAAATAAAACAAAAGTAAATAAAAAGTATGTATAGAAACTCAACAACATGCACAGATAAAAAGAATCTTTATATAAGCTATTAAACTTGATAACTATTGAAATGATAAAATTGCTAAATAATTTCAAATTGTGTCAGTTTGGCACTGGAATGCATAACTTTTGTTTATGCATTTCAGTCCAAACAAATTCAATACATATATACAGAAAATAATAATGTATACAAAAATAATACCAATATATACCAGAAAATAATAATATATATACAGAAAATAATACCAATTTAATTACAATTATAATTAATGAACCAAATAATACATTCTGTGAATTAATATGAATTCTCCGATCATTCTACTCAAAAAAATTATAGAGGCAATTTTTCCATTTTCTCAAAAATATACTTTTACAGGACTTTATGATCAAAATAGCATTTACAATCATGAGAACTTATCTAATTATTTCCCATAAATCCTACTAACTTATTTAAGTCAAATGTAAATATTTAAGTAAAATGTGAGTAAGTATTTGAGTAAAATGTGAACAATTTTTAGTTTTAATAAAGCAAAACATATTACAAAAATAAAAATCAGCTTATTTTAAATGCTTTTAAAAACTCTTAATAAAGAAATTAAATAAGATTTATTAAAATTTAATTTTGAAAGAATAAGGTTTATACATATAAACAGATTTATACATCTAAAGCTTATTCTTCAAGGTTTAATACAAATAAAGAATTTGAAGAAACATAAACTATTATAAAATAACAAAGTTACTTTATAATAGTTAACAATAAGTTATATAATAATTTATAAATAATTATAAATAAATAGTTAACTTATTGTAACTGATTACTGTAACTAATTATTAGTTACAATAATCAGTTATAAAAAGTTAACTATTGCAATTGATTGCAATAGCTAAATTATTGTAATAAATTCGGTATCAATAAAATTGGTACTTTATAAAAAATAAGTATTATTAAATTATTAAGATATGTACAAAGTAAGTATAGTCAAGTAATAATGCTTTTAAGTTTGGATTAGTAATTAATTACTAACCAAACTTAAACAACTACTGACCTAACTTAACTTATACTGTTACAAAAATATAAAAAAGATAGAGAAAAACTTTTTTAAGTTACTATATTGAACTAAATATAATTATATTTAATGAAAAATTAAAATTAATATTTATTATAATGATTTTTTGCTAGATGTGGTTTCAGATTATTATGATTTATTATTAAATTATTAAATTTGAGCGCATTTATTAAAACAATGCCGGCAACCGGAAAATTAGATCGTAAAGACTAGGTACAAAGGTATAAAGATTACTTATTGCATCAACGCATGCGCTTTGTTCTTCAAACTTGTGTCAGCTTTTCTTTAGTCTTCTGAGCAAGCGAGCAGACCGTTGAAGGGTGTAGGTTGTGTCTTATCTTTAGCTTAAGCAACTAAATAATGTTTTCCTGTTCCAAAAACGCTTTACCAGTTTTAAGAAATGTGGTGAGTTTTACTTTCTTAGGATTTTATTTTAACTTTTTAATTTTAAAAATCAAGTTGGTCTAAACTTGATTGGCTTATATATTCATTTTTAACTGGTACTTTTAAAATTTATATTAATACTAATATTTCTTGATTTATAGTAAATAATAATTAGTTTTTATTGACATTTGATAAATATAATTTTATATCAAAGCTGTTGTGCTATAGACTACTCTCTAGTATTATTAAGCAAAACCAATATTATTGCATATTGATAATGTTTATATTATAATTGTTAAGTTTAGAAAATACTTTTCTAAATTTAAGGAAATACTTATAGTTTAACATTTTAGCTAAAGCCTAAATTTTTTTTATTAAAGCACTATATATCAGTGATATTGTGCACTGAAATTAGTCAAATTTAAATAATTATAATAAAATCCATTGTGATAATTTACTTTTTACCACCACCTGTTTTTTTAATAGATTTTAGCCTCTACATTTGAAATTAGTCAAATTTAAATAAGTATAACAAATTCCATTGTGATAATTTACTTTTTACCACCACCTGTTTTTTTAATAGATTTTAGCCTCTACATTAATCTTGAGTACTTTTTTCAAATTTTTACATCTATTATTATTTTTTTTTTTTCATGATTCTGAATTTATCCATCCAGTTAGCATGGCGTCACGCAGTATTAAAAAGTATTGTTATAAAATTAACCATGTTGAATTAGGAAAAACAAACTAAAAAATCAGTTGCGGTTTGTTGTGTTATATTATTTAAAAAATATTTAAAAGTTGTTGTGCAGTCGGTTGCACTAACAAAAAAAAAAAAAAAACATAAGTATTCCTAAAGATGAAGTACTTTAAAAAAAGTGGTTGAATACAATAAATTGTGCTGTAGATAGTAGTGTATGTAGCAAACAATGGTTTCCTAAAGTCTTGTTGTGTTTTGATTTGTTTGGCACACTATTACTGGTGGGTTACTTTTATTTTGCATTTTAATTTAGTATTGGTAAATAAATATCAAAATATCTACTTTTTATATCTTAAAATAACCAAAATAATATGTAGAAAGCAATGCAAGACATCATTTTAATTAAACAGAGATCTAAAAGTATGAAAAAAAAAAAAAAGTAAAATCACCTAAAAGACTTTTATTTTGCAGACATCTATTCTCTGTTTCTTTTGAATAACTTTTAAAGTACTTCTAGGACATTTGGTTGATCTTAGTAACATTTGGTTGGTTGATCTTAGTAACATTTTCTTGACTTTGCATTTAAGAAAGAATGGTTTGTTTTCCCCCAATTCAATATGTTCACTTTTGATTTCATAGTCACATAATTGCGACTGGATATATCGTAATTGCTGATTAATATGGGAAGGGGGTGAAAGTTGTTTATTATTCAGTGATTATAATAGTGTTTCAATTTTGAATTTTTGATCTTTCAATTTTGGCTTTAGTGCTATTGGTATATTTTATTTACTCTTACATTCTGTATTATTTTTTTGAGTATCAATTTATGTTTATATATTTATGTACTGAGTTATGTCATTGCTGGTGTGTGTGATAATAATATAAGCAATTTTTATTCGGTAAAAAAGGTGAAAAACATGCTTGAAATCTTTCTTCAATTTTCAAACGAGTTTTGAATTGGCATATTTCAAGGACTAAATATTACACATAAGTAAATTATGTTATATTATGCTTATTCTTTTTTTAAAAATAAGAATGTAAAAGTTTTAAGATGTAACCTTGCATGACTGCAAGTATTTTAAAATTAAACATTATTTTTCATTGATTAACACTATTTGTTTTTTAAGTAGTTATATAACTATATTTTTAGTTTACTTTTAGTCTGATTCATGCTAATATTTAATGTTTAGCAATATTGTTTCAGATAAATAAAATACACTTGACAACTTCAAAATATTGATTAATCTGAACAAACAACTTGTTACCATAGTATAATGGTTATCCTGTCTATATGCACTGCACCATGGAAGCCTATGTACAATATTAACCTTTGATAAAAGAGGCTTTTTGACAGCCCTAAAAAAATCTAGATGTTTGTAGTTGGTAAAGAAGAAGTTGATAAGTTGATGAAGATAAAGAAGTTGATAAAGAATAAAGTTATAAAGTAGTTGATAAATAAGATGTTTCTACCTGGAAAAATCAGCAGGTTTTAGGAGCGGGTTAGATCATGCATCATCTAATCTGCCCTTAAAATTGCTGTTTTTTTTCAATCTAGATCAATGAACTGTGTCATTTTTTCAAAAAAAAAAAACAATTGTATTTTTTCCACAACCTATATATATGTGTATATATGTATCAGGAATTATCTTTTTCTGGGTATTTATGGAATTTCTGATATTTTTCTTAACTTTGAGTTTTTCCGGATATCTAAAACCTTTTCCATACATACAAGTTTAAGTGTATATTTTTGTATTATATTTGGTTTTCAAGCTTTTTCACTCATACAGAAATTTAAAAAAAAATTTAAAACAAAATTTGCTAAAAGCAAAGTTAAGAGGAAAATAACAGAAAACATACTCACACATTTTTTCCAAATATTTTACCCAAACAATTTTCAGAATTTTTAAAATATGACCTTAATAAAAATGACTGTGTGTGTGTGTGTTTATATATATATATATATATATATATATATATATATATATATATATATATATATATATATATATATATATATATATATATATATATATATAGATATAGATATAGATATAGATATATAGATGTATAGATATATATAGATAGATAGATAGGAAGTTGGCATACCTAGAGTCTTCTCGTTCCTAGAGCCATCTCACTTTGTTAGAAAACTAATAAGTTCTAAGTTCTTGCTTATCATTCAGATGATTAGTTATAAAAATTATTATTTATTATTATTCATGAGTTTTTTTTCTTGTGGATGATTACACGTAAATTGATTTAGGAACCATTTTGCACATAGACTTTTTTAATTTTGCTTATAAACAGTTGGTCAATTTTGTTTTATATTTAAGTGTAGCAATCAAGTAATACTAGATAAATTTGTTAAAACAATCTAGTATTAAATAAATTTCTAATCAGATTTGTGTCTCTTTTAGTTGGCAGTTTGTTATGGAGTTTAATATTTTTATCTTAGTCAGAGTTAATATAGCTTTCAGAGAGTGGTACAATTACAATAAAATACAAACAATGGTTACAACCCAAGTACAATTTAAAAAAGCTTATTGTTTCTAGGGCCACTAATTTTTAAATTTTTCTACATGAAGGATATTTATTATTTTAATCATATATACTATTACAAAATAATTATAGAGATGTGATCATATCATTTTCACGATTTTTAGACAAGCCTGGGACTTTAAGTTCACCCTACATTTTATGATGAACTCACCCTACATTTTACATTAAAAGAACTTATTGATTTATTAGGCCATGCCAAGTCTTAAAAACAATTCAAAAAACTGAGATTCAATATGAAACTTGTGTTTTATACAAAATATGATAAATGTAACTAAAATAAACATGTGTTAAAAAAGTGAAGGCATATATTTAAACTATATCTTGAAATATTTTTGAAAATACATGAAAAACGAATTTTTCTGTCAAAACAAAAATTTTACTTTTTATGAGTTTTTTTATTTTGTGGCTTTAAATGTATATATGTTATATAAATAATTATTTTTAGGCTCGTGTAGCATTAAAACCACAAAGTAGTATACTTGCAAGGACTCCAATGCTTCCACAGGTTTTCTATTTTTTTAACTATACTATTTAAAAATAATTTCAAGTTTAAGTTGATGATTTAAAATTAATTTTTGTTTAATATTGTTTAATATGGGTTAGTATTGTTTTTTTTTTAACCATTAAGTATTTCATGATTTTGCTTTAAATTTCTTTTTCAATTTTTAACATTGTTTAATAATTTAAATAAATAATAAAATTTCTCTATCATTTTAGGCTTTAGTTCCTCTGACTCAATCCATTCATACTACATCTGCTGTCCGTGATATAGAACAAGCTGCTAAATTTATTGGAGCTGGTGCTGCAACCGTAGGATGTGCAGGTAAACTTCTACAATTTATTTGCAATTATTAACTTCAAGTTGTCTTAATACGCTTTGCACTTGTTTAATGAGATGTAAAGCTATGTGTACATGTATGTAGTGTACAGTAATTCAGATTTGATCAGTAGTGTGCAGTAACTCAGCTTCTTTTTTTGTGTGTGTTTTTGTTTTAATAGTACTTTTGATTATTTATTTAGGATCTGGAGCTGGTATCGGAACAGTATTTGGAAGCTTGATTATCGGTTATGCACGAAATCCATCTTTAAAACCTCAACTGTTTTCTTATGCTATTTTGGGATTTGCTTTATCTGAAGCTATGGGACTTTTCTCCCTTATGATGTCATTTTTAATACTTTTTGGGCTGTAGGCACCAAAAAACCCTAAAATCTAAAAAAATTGTAGTCAAGTGACAGTAGAAGTGTTTTAAAAGTATTTTTCTTTTATTTATTATTTCTCAACAAATTTGCTGCCCTTCCTTAAGTTTCTAATTATATTAATTCTAAATATTGCCGTATTCAGATTGCACTGTGGCGTGCGCAAGGCCGGTGCGATGGGGCTGGGGTGGTGTCACCTACCCCCACTCCATCAATGATTTTTTGGTTCATTTAGTCGGCAATTTGACCTTATTTGACTAGTCAACAAATAGACAAGTTAGTCGGGTAAACTTAGTCAGCAATGTTGTTGTGGCAGTCGGCAAATTTTAACGTGACACCCACTCGGCCCAAGGCGTGCGATTGATTTAGTTTTGCGATGCTGTAACTTGAGTTAGTACTTCAATATGTCTGAGAGATCTTCCTGAGTTAATTCATAGTCATAATATAAGATTGTCTGGCCAGTTGGGCCGTTTTCGCAATATTCAATTGTTTTTAAACAAAAGTTAAAACATTGAATTTATGTTGAAAATCGTTATTTATCGTGCCCAGACTACCAATAAGTGCACAAAAATCTAAAAAAATGGCGAACTCAACGGATGCACAGTGGGCCAGGTAAATGGGAAGTGGTGGACAAAACTTAATTATTACCAAATTGGTCCACAAACCCATTTAGATATATAAATAATCATTATATATGAAATAATATTTATTTTTAACAAGAATATTATAGTTAAAAAAAAAGACATTTAATAGGCTTATGTAGTAAAAAAATATTTTTTTCAATATCAACCTTTTTTTAAAATCAAACAAATTGTGTTTAGCTACAAAGAAAAAGAAGAAGGTGGAGCTGATTCCCTCAGCAAAGCCAAAACTTCACTGGGGTATTTTTTTAAACTCTTACCATTTTTTTTATGACACTTTCTTAATGATGTTATGACAGGATCACTAGATACAAGTAGCCTGTTAACTAGGTCACGATTTGTGTTGATTCTAGAAGTCTTTCTACTGAAATCTTCCCTAAACTTTTTAAAATCCTTGTTACAGGCCTCTTGGGCCTCCTCTGGCATCAGTTCAATTGGCAAGTACTGTCTAGCAATGATGGCATAGCCATGAACTAAAATTTTGTGTACTGATTGTGCCATGTAATACCAGGAATACTTAGATATGTAAAGTTTAAGAGCAGTAATACAGAACTCTTTAAATTTGACAGTGTCAATTTCAAATCCAGATGATAAAGTGACTAGTATGATGTAAAAATAAAAGAGTTTCATCTACTTTCAAAATTTTGGCAGTTGATTGATAGTTTGCAAAGGCTCGTCGGGCAGTGTTACCATCATTACAGGTACCTACAAATTGTATATATGTGATAGTTAACCTGATGATTTATATAAGAGTATTTATGTAATTTCACTTACCAGATCCTCCACTTTTTGGGAAATCCACAACTAGTCCCATTTGGTTCATAAATTCTGTCTGTATACGTTTCTTCACTTGCATAACATTTTCCTTATCTTCTATAGCTCTAGACTGCCACTTTTGAGTTTCTAGTTTATATCCAATATGCAATACCATCTCAAAAAACCTAATCCAGGCATGCAGGCTAGAAAGACCATATTTCAATTCTAAATTATTAGAATTGTCCAATTTCAGCACCATTTCTAAGTTATTCATGTTTTTTGGAGACACACCACACACAGAGCAACATTGAATTGAGTCACATAAGACAGAATAGTTTGAATTTTGCCATCAATCATGGTCAGTTCAATAATACTTTTGACAACCAGTTCCTTTCCTTAAAAGTAAAATTAAAAACACCACATTTTTTGATTTCAGATTCTAAATATTTTGCTTCTTCTATAACAACTGCTTTGCTTTCATTTTGAAAAGAAAATCTTATTGGACGACAATATGCAGTAGATGATGGCTTTTCATTTCGCCATAATAGTACTTTTTTGTTATTACAGAACCCACTGAGTTCTAGTGGTGCTAAGCAGGTAATGAACAAAGATTCTTCTTTTTTTAAGTTACGATCTCCAGCTTCCTCACTACTAATTTGCTTGTACATGCTTTGCCCAGTAGCCCCATCAAACCCAGCCTTGCAACGCAAAGTCAACCGGGTCAAACCATCTAGCATTGTGCTGATCACAGGAGCTTGCACCTCACAAAGTCTTTTTACTGTATGTTTTAATAATTCTTGTAGTGGTACATGTGCTGAATAATCATCAACAAAGATGTTCTCTGGATAGCTTTGGACAATCTTATGTTGTTGTATGAAGGATATATATGGCAGTCACGTTCTTCAGCTCCATTTCTCATAAGTTGGTTGGTTGATTTTGACATGCCACCATCTATAATTAATGCCAGACCTTCATCAGGTGTATACTTTTTAAATTATTATTATTATTATTATATTATTATTATTATTATATTTTCTTTGCCGTATAATTAAATTTACAATGAGAAAAAACAATTCATGTATAAAAATTGGCCGGAGCAAGAAGAAGACATAAACTGTCTTATCGCCAAGCCCCGTTTACATTAACGTCACAAAGTTACAATTTAAAAACTAAAAGGTTAAAAATTGAAGTACAATACAATATTAGTTCAACAAATATAATACACAAGTAATAAATCGAATAAATGTTATTTGTCTGTTCAAAATTAATAGTATATATATTTTTTATTTTAATAAGAAATAAACAAGATACACAAGACAATAGTAAATGAGTAGTGATGACTTTTTCAGGTTTAATTATTTTAGGTGATTTTAGAAGAAATCTTTAAAATCAAAAGTTTTTTCTAATAGAAAACGTTTAGATTCTCTTTTGAATTGTTCTAAGGAGATGCCTCGAAGAATTTTATTTTTAATTATATTTTTTAAAAAACCTTTCCATATAAATGGTCCCCGGTATTGAATTTGAAATGAATTGAGTTTTAAATAAGATCTTGGAATAACAAAATTATCAGATGAAAATTTAGTGGGATATTTATGAGATATTTCGGTAAAGTAAGACTGAAATATATTAGGAGATAACGCATGTTTTGTTTTAAACGTAAATAGCATAACTTGATATATATTAAGTTTGTAAATATTAAGCACATTAAGTTTCTTTAAAAGAGATTCACCATTAACAGTTCTGTTAACGCCAAAAATAATCCTACAAGCATGTTTTTGTTTGCTATAAATTTTTTTGAGCTTCCCATAATTAGTGCTTGCCCATGCAAGATTACAATAGGAAAGATAACTATGAATAAATGAGAAATATATAATTTTTAAAGATTCCGTATTAAGAAAAGGTTTAACTTTATATAGCATTGAAATATTTTTGGAGGTTTTATTTTCAATAGATCTAATATGATATTTCCATGATATATTTTCATCTAATATCACTCCTAGAAAGTTAATAGTTGACTCTCTTAATAACTTTTTTGTTCATAAAGAGATCAGGTAGTTTTAAAAAAAGGTTATCACCTTTACTAGGTTTGTGGAACAACATAAATTTAGTTTTCCCAACATTTAATGAAAGTTTATTATTCGTAATCCATTCATTTATTTTTAATAACTCTTCATTAAAAATTCTAAACAGATCTTTAATATTTCTGTTAGAGTAAAAAAGATTTGAGTCATCAGCAAACAATATAACGTTTAGAATTTTGGATGCTAAATACAAATCATAAATGAACAGTATGAATAATAAGGGCCCTAAGATTGATCCCTGGGGAACACCACAAGTTATGATGTTTTTTTTCTTCATTTTCTGTATATATTATGTATTGTTTCCTGTTTGAAAGGTAACTTTTAAACCATTGTAAGTTATTGTTTAATACTCCATACATTTCTAGTTTTTTTATTAGAATATCATGATTAACAGTGTCAAATGCTTTTGACAAATCAATAAAAACTCCTAATGTATAGCAATCATTATTGAACCCATTGGATACATAATTTATTAGATCGACTACTGCATGGTCCGTTGAATGATTTTTTTAAAACCCAAATTGTTTATTATACAGAATATTGTTCTCAGTTAAATAGTTGTTAAGTCTATCATACATAATTCGTTCTAACAGTTTAGAGAAACATGGTAAGACAGAAATAGGTCTATAATTGGACATATTTGTATCATCGCCATTTTTAAAAATAGGTATAATCTTAGCAATTTTTAATTTCTCCGGTACAATACCGGATTTTAAAGAAAGATTAAAAATGTGAAACAGTGATGGTTCAATAATATCAAACACAGCTTTAACTACATTTACGCTAATTTTATCAATGCCCGCACATTTATTATTTTTTAGACAGTTGAAAGCATTGCGCATCTCACTTAAGTTTAAATTAGATTCTATCATAGATGTGTTGGGTGTATTTATATAAGATTTGAAGTTGTTTGAGTTGGTTTTTGGAATTTTATCAGCTAATTTTGGTCCAATATCAAGAAAAAATTTGTTGAGCTTGTTAATTATGACTTCTTTATTATAAATTATATCCCCGTCAACTAAAAGTTTTTCTGGCAATTTATTATTTTGACATTTATTTGTACCGATTATCTGCTTAATTACATTCCACGTCCATCTACGTTCATGAATTTTGTTTAAAAAAACATTCTTATTGTTACAAACTATCTTTGCTGCAAAATATTCTGCAAAGAAATTCATCAATTTTGTTTTAAAAAACATTCTTATTGTTAAAAACGATCTTTGCTGCCTTCCGTATATCAGAGATGAGCTTTCAAAGTACATATTTTTTAAAGATGATACAAAGCTATTATTCAAGTTAATAAAATGAATTTTATTAAAATTATTTAAAGTGAAGTTGAAGTTTTTTATCCAAAATTTATAGTTGCAGATCAGAAAGGATTTTTCTAACAGATCCTCACCTCATGTAGGATATAAACTTGCTAATCATTTAAAAAGAGAAAAAGAAAAATATTTAGTTCAATGTTTTGGTTGTTACTTTTTATTAAAGAATATGTTAGTCAAAAAAAAAAAAAAAAAAAAAGAAAAACCTCGAAAGGGCTTTTAAACTCCATCGAATAAATATTAGACATTTAATAAAGG